TTGACCTGGTTGCCGCGCTTGCCGATGCCCATGAGGAAGTTGTCCGGCTTGATGTCACGGTGGATGAAGTTACGCGAATGGACGTATTCGATGCGAGAGATCTGTGGGAAAGATGAGCGTCATATACGTAGAACAAGCTTTCTCCAGGAACGTACGAGCTGATCGGCGAGCAAGAGAACAGTCTTGAGCGAGAACTTGCGGTTGCAGAAGTTGAAGAGATCCTCAAGCGAAGGGCCAAGGAGATCGATGACCATCGCATTGTAGTCGCACTCGGTGCCGAACCAACGGACGAACGGGACGCCGACACCGCCGGCGAGAGTCTTCAGAACCTTTGACTCGTACTCGAGCTGAGGGTGCTTGGCCTTGACCGACTCGAGCTTGATGGCAACCTCCTCGCCCGAGATGATGTTGATCCCGAGGTAGATGTCACCTACATGTGGTCAGACGACTATTGATTTGGGGTGTAACGAGACGTGTACGCACCGAAAGAACCGGAGCCAATCTTCTTGCCGAGCCTGTACTTGCCGCCGACCCGGAGGTCAAGCCTGTGGGACGCCGAGTCTGTCATGATGGTTGGAGGATGAGGTGGATGTGGGTGGTGAGGGGCTAAATGGTGGATGCGAGTCAGTTTCCCACAACATATACGGAATAACGACAATGAAGAAATAAGAACAAGCGAAATTGTGGGTCAGGCGGCCGCCACAGACAATGGCCGCACAGGACAAGGGGCCCCACCGGAACGCATTGTCGTCCCACTCGTCGACTTGAACATCGCCGCCGCACCCATTCCTCGTTCATCACGTCACATCCATCCTCCGACAACGTAGAGATCGATTTATTGGATGTTCCGGGATGACATGGGGGAAGGGTGGACCCGAGGACGCTGAGTAGTCGGTGACGCGGCGGCGGCCAGAAATGGTACGATTTAAATGAGAGCGACACTCACGTATAAGCTAGCAGTCCTTCAGGTTCTTTTTGAGGAAAAAAGAGAGGGAAACAAGCGGGAGAGGAGGAGCGGAAGAATATAAAGGGTGGTGAGGGTGGAGGCTGCAAGAGGCAAGAGCCGAAGAGGCAACGCGACGAGTGTGCCGCGCCAACACCTTCCCACGCTCTGTTCTTCGTCCCCCACACGGACAAGCATGCACACACCGCACGCGGGTCCGGCGTATGATCCCGTTTATTAGAATTCAGCTTACACGGCTGGCCTACTGAGCCATTGCCGAGATCGCCGGAAGCGGCCAGAGAGGCGCACAAGGCGGTGAACGAACGGCCCAGCGCGATGGCCGAGCGGAAGATCCGCGCTGAGCGCATGACGGTGGAAATTCGGGAATGTATGTTCGCGCGTAAAATGATCATAAGGCTGTTGCAGGCGCCGTGTGGTGGCAGAAGAAGAAAAGACGTGCGGAAAGGGCATGTCCGCCTCGGTAGACGCCCAGACGTGGGATATATGGCCGCGGCGCGCGACTCGCGCTGTGCCCCTTCCGTCCTTCTCTCCCGCAACCTCCACCCTCGCCCCCTTATATTCCCTCGCACTCCTCTCCCGGATCGCTCTCGTTGTTCTCGAACTCAGGCGGACTTGTAATACTACCAGTATCTATGTGAGTGTCCCCCATTGTCATCGTACCCATTACATCATCGTCCCATTGCCTGGTCTCCTTGGCTCTACATCCCATGAAGAACTATCCTACGCACTCATCGCATTGCACTCCATGAGCTTGGGCACTGGATGGAATGTCATCGGGCGACAGAAAATGCAGATAGCCCGATTCTTGAATGGAAGTCGGCGACAATCCGTCACTGCGGGTGCCGCGTTTGTGCTCCCCGCGGGTTTCTTCTTCCCATATACACCGTTGTAGCGGTAGTATATAAGAAGCGACGGCCACTTTGCCTCCCTTCGGTGTCTATCTATGAAGTATGGGAAACTGACTCGTTACTTTCATTCAGCACCATCACAACCACATCCATCTCATTCTCCCACCATCATGTCAGATTCGGCGCACCACAGACTCGACCTGCGAGTTGGCGGAAAGTACAGGCTCGGCAAGAAGATCGGTTCAGGATCGTTCGGTATGTCGAACGCCATTCCTGGCACAGCCGAGCCTTTGTCTGATACTCCGCAGGTGACATTTATCTCGGGATCAACATCATCTCGGGAGAGGAGGTCGCTATCAAGCTCGAATCCGTGAAAGCCAAGCACCCTCAACTCGAATATGAGTCCAAGGTCTACAAGACCCTGGCAGGTGGCGTTGGTGTCCCCTTTGTGCGCTGGTTCGGCACCGAGGCCGATTACAACGCCATGGTCATCGATCTCCTCGGTCCATCACTCGAAGACCTCTTCAACTTCTGCAATCGCAAGTTCTCTCTCAAGACTGTTCTCCTTTTGGCAGACCAACTCGTAAGCCAGCTCGATCTGCAACCACCAGTGTCAACGGTGCTTACTCATCTGACAGATTTCTCGCATTGAGTACATCCATTCCCGCAACTTCATCCACCGTGACATCAAGCCGGACAACTTCCTCATGGGCATCGGCAAGCGCGGCAACCAGGTCAATGTCATCGACTTCGGTCTCGCCAAGAAGTACCGCGACCCGAAGACACACCTCCACATTCCGTACAGGGAGAACAAGAACCTGACGGGCACAGCCCGCTACACGTCCATCAACACCCACTTGGGCGTCGAGCAGGCCCGCCGCGATGACCTCGAGTCGCTCGCTTACGTGCTCATGTACTTCCTCCGCGGTGCTCTGCCGTGGCAGGGCCTGAAGGCGGCGACGAAGAAGCAGAAGTACGACCGCATCATGGAGAAGAAGATGACGACGCCGACGGATCTGCTCTGCCGCGGGTTCCCGCATGAGTTTGGGATCTTCCTGAACTACACGCGCGCCCTCCGCTTCGACGACAAGCCCGACTACAGCTACCTCCGCAAGCTGTTCCGCGACCTGTTCGTTCGCGAGGGCTATCAGTACGACTACGTCTTCGATTGGAGCGTGCAGCGCACTCAGGAGGACGGTTCGTCCGCCAAGGCAGGGCGTCGCAAGGTCGTCCATGAGGACGATGGCGCCGAAGCCCGCCCGTCGGACCGGCAGTGAGTCTCTATATTGCGTGCCAGCGCGTACGATCATGACGAAATTTGTGTCTGAACGTAGTTGATCCAGGCTGCGCTCGCATACCCGCCAGATGCAGCAGGGTGCGCCGGCCCCTAGCGGTCAGCGCAGCCGTCGTGACGGCGAGCTGTGGTAAAGAGTCTACCGTCTGAAGGATATTCGCCTGAACACACCCCGGAGATAGACCGAGCGACGGAGAGGGGATGGAAGATGACATACTCGGGTAACATTACTATCCGGTCTCTATCTGGCGCGCTGGAGGCGCAAGCGTGCGCGCCCGGCCGTCTGCTCGCGCGCATTACTCTCTGCACATGCGCTTTATCAGCCCCCTGTGCAGTCCTGCCCGCCCACCGCCAGACGTCTTTCTCACTACGGACGCATATTTCTTTCACGTCCGTTCGCCCAGTGCGACGGACCGCCTTATCCCTCGTCTTTCTCGTTACATGCCCCCCCCCCTGCGCCCGTAAAACCCGGATTGGATCCCTACATCACGATGCACATGTACTTGTATTTGCGTCTACGCACACTTCATATCCGCAACCCCGATCGTTGTCTTTATGTTGTAGTCCTATCGCAAACCCGCTCGTTCGCTACGCTTTCGTATATTTATCGACTATATTTTCAGCTCGCTGCCTTCACCTCCACCGTCCACATATACGTCCTCACCCGCGCGCATTCTCCTTCATCCCCATCCCCCCCATCGTTGGGCGTCACGATTGAGGAGCGACGCTCGCATCTACCCGCGGGGTCTCCGGGTCCGGGTGTGAGAGTGTACAGGATGCTACTTACCCAATAGAACTGTTGTGGCCCACCACTTACCAGCCCCGAGGCTCCACCAATATACAATGTTTTTGCTCCGATGACAAAGGGTTCGACGACGCCAAACTGACCATTCGGGCTCGGATTGGATGCTGCGTGAACTCCGTCTTCGCCGATCGATATATCCTTATAGCTCAATCGACTATGCGCCCCATCCTGCTTCCATCTCCCATGAACGCGCGTCGTACTCACTCTCACGCGAAACACTCATTCTTCGGCCCTTCTGTACTCGACCCTGCATCGGCCGACATCACCACGTGTGCTGTTCATTCCAATACTGCCAGCATTAACTTGGGTCCTGGCGCCGGCGAGCGTAACGCTCGGACTCAGCTGCTCGATCCCCGTGTCACTCTTGACCCACCTACGTTCATCTGTAGGCCCGAGTGCGGAGCCGGACGTCTCTGTCTAGACGCTCATAATCATAATCGACAGGCATGATCGTGATCGGTTGGCTGTGAAGGCTGTACTATCACCTATCGTCGTGGGCAATGTGTTCATCTGTGTGAGGATAACGGATGTTGTAGTACTTCGGTTGTAACCCTGCCCCGCGCAAGCACGAAACCGCGCCTCTTGCACTGAGTGACCATACCTGATCTCGACCTGCTGTAGTACCGGATCTAGATGGATATGTACACGCGACGATCATCTTCAACATCGGCAGAGTTTGTCGTCGAGTGAAGGTTGATCATGAACGGCATTGAGACGACATATCGATATTTCCTAAGCTCCATGATGTATGGCACGCCGTGTATGCGCTGTCTTGACGTCCTTCAGACGTCATTGCATCCGTAAGGATCGCCTGTACGCTTGCACAGGCGGTCTAGACTCATATACCGCAGGGGATATAGGTAATGCAAGAAACGCAATGGAGAAGTACATGGAGAAAGGGCCGTGAGGAGCCTGTACTTAGTACACTATCACCATAGCAGATCTTAGGCCTCCGATTTCGATTTAGGCTTTGCCTTGCGGCATGAGACCTTATGATATGGCCAGGCCGCATGCTGGCTACGTAGGTAGGTTGATTAGGCATGTGCATCGACAGACGAGCCCGCGGAATCACTCACCACTCTTTGCCGCAGTACCACGTCAGCCTGCACCTGTACCAGCGCACACAGTGAATGTCTTCAGCGAACATTGTACCTAGAAGCAATGGATACACCTACCCTGCACATAGACGCAGTTCGCTCAGCTCTTTAGCTTCCTGGCAGAATCCACACTGGCGCATATTCTTGCCGCGCAGAGCCGCACTGACGTCCGGCCTATCCTCCTTCGATCCGAGTACCCTTTCGCGTACACCTGCGCCTTTGCGATTCTTGGTAGTAGAGCCGCGCGCAACTGTGTTGTCGATCTTCTCCAGCTCATTGGGGAACAGCGACGGGGAAAAGCTATCCGCTGTAGCAACATAGATAGGAGGCCGACCATCCTTCAGATCCTCTCCGGGTGTTTGAGCACCGATGTTATCCAAGAAGTCGGGCGCAAGCCTGAGACCCTCTGCTGGAGTCACGTAGGTCGCGCGCACCCTTTCAGTCCGGTGTCAGCAGCGGCCAAGTGTAACTGACAAGGTAGATGCTTACCAGCGGGGGTTTGGTCCCCAGTCCCACTCTTCGTGTAGATAAACGAGGAGTGACATGAATCGATCGGCATGGTAGCGTGTGAGAGCACCGTAGTCATGGTGTGATAAGTTGCCGCAGTTGCAGGCCTGAGGGAAAGTCATTACGAGCATGAAGTAAGACAGTGTCATATCAGTGAAGAGAAGGTGCCCCCAGTCGCGCTGTATGCAACTGTCAGCAAGTTTCCTGAAGTCGAGCAAGTCCCATACCTCTGTCTTGGCTGAAGTCTTCACGATCTGCGCTCAAGGTTAGCGCATACTAGTGTCTTAATAAGGACTCTGAAGATACGCCAGCGGACCTCATACTTATACAAAATGGGCGACCACTGATTCTTGTATATCCGCGCCTTCGGCTCATTTGCATGATCATCGCACCATTTCTCCACCTGTTGGACGATGGCTTTACGCGCTCGAAATTCGGCGGAGGTCAAGTCCGGGGCTTCGTCTCCCGCGAATTTATTTGATATATTATTCATATTGATCCCAAAGTCCGTGCACTGCGTGAGCTTGCGGGTGGCGCACGTCTCTGAGCGATTTATCATCATGTTGGGGGAGAAACTGCCCTTGACATTGAACGAGTTGTGGGTGCTTTGTATATAAGAGACTCACTAGGGAAGACCTGAGAAGGCCGAGGCCATCACGTCCATATCCATGGCAGAGATTGTTCGAGGTTCTACGGGGGCAGCGGTGTTGAAATCCAGAGCGTCGCTGTTGGAAAGAGGTGAGGGTCGGATCCAAGGCAGCACGCGATGGCAACGGGGCCACAGCGCTCACAGCGGTGCACGCCATAAACTCGTGTAGCAACGTGACGTCACGCGTCAAGCTCAGTAACGCCAGCGCCGTATTCGATGTTGCCAGTGTCGTTATGAGTTAGATTCGTATTCAGATTCAACTGGTTATTCCACAGCTACGAGTAGCCACGAGTCTCAGAAACCACAAACTAAGTATACACAGGCCAATCAACAACCTTTCCTCGACCGGCGGCGCGCGATAAACAAGTCGCGGTATTCCAGCGCCGCCGTCGGTCTCTTGACAAACAGGCAGTAAAGTACACAACGAACGACAACGAAGCTGAGACAAAACGAGTCAACAGTCGATGAGTGAACAGAGACAGGGGAGAAGGCGAAAAGGTGTCAGGTAGGGAGGGGTATGAGCGCGGTAGGTATGGGAGAGCAGGCTGGGCGTCCGGCGCCGCGGGAGGGAGAATCTCTCTTGCGGATGGACGCTTAGTGGCCAAAGAGGCGGAATAGAAGGTAGAGAACACATCCGGTGAAGCGGACCGCCGAGAGACCGGCGCTGAAAGGCAATCAGTTTATTGGTACGGGCTTAGACGCAGGAGGTACTCACAGCGCGATGAACAGGAAGCTCAAATAAGGGTTGAAGTTACTGCTGGCGTCTGTCTGGATGTGCTTCTGCACAAAGTCTGTGAACCCAGAAGAGGTGAAGACGACGATGAGTGCAATGTTGGTGCCGACCCAGGACAGCACGACGTTGGTACGGCTGTTGCGGTCATGATCGGCCTGCTTCGTCGCAGCGTCACGATGCTCCTTCTCCTTGGGTGGCGGATGACGGAGGGCACTTTGCGCGGCGCCCCATAGCTGGTCAATGTCTTCGCGCTGCGTTGGCAAATCGACTTCGAGCACTTCCTTGCCGTCGCTGTTCTTGACCTTCTTCGCGCCGCCGAGGTCTTTGGTTGAACCATTGTCACCCTTGGTACCCCAGGACACATTGTGCAAGTTGCACATCGCGTACATCATGAGAATGTTCACGTCTGTATATCCTGTTATTATTTCACGGATGCGCAGAACAATGAAGGTGACGTACAAGACGGGAGCAAGAACAGGTATTGAATGAAGCAGGTGAACTGATACGAGCGTCAACGTGCTGTTCTTTCGTTGCGCATGGTTGGAACGTACCATGTGCCACGGCTCGAAGTGGAGGAAGCTCGCAAAGAAGTATAGACCGTATGTCGCGGCGATGGAGATGACGAGCTCCTGCAAAGTCTTGTTCGTCTTGACCAGTTCGGGAAAGTCCTCCCAGCCAGCGACCGTGTGTGGTAAAGCAAGGTAGATGGTCCATCCTGCGCACCAGAGCGTGACACAGTTACACAAGCCGAAGAGTATCATAGCGATCGTGTATGTCCATTTTGAACCCTACTCGTCGTCAGCATCTGCTTTCATACGGATAATGAGCATCAGACGTACTTGTGGCCGGTTGCCGAGCGAGCAAACAGTAACGAGAAAGAGAAGGCCGAGGTAGAGCTTGAGGAACGCCTCGAAGACGATCTTCCCAGCGCCCTTGCTGAGGAAGTTGAACGCGTCGTCTTCGCCTGCCTCGTCCGTCGCCGAGCTGACAAGGAAGAAGAACGCAAGGTAGAAGTTGGCCAGGGAAGTCCAGGTGAAGATGAGTTGAACGGCGTTGTAGATGAACTCGATCTGTAGAACGATCTTGCGGAAGAAGTTCTGGCCGGACGTCCAGATGCGGAAGAACATGATTGTGGCGTGCACACTCGCGAAGAGAGAACCATTGAGCCATCGACGACGTTGCGAAATGAACTCGGGCACCGATGCGGGCATGTCCGTCGCCGCCTTCGCGCTCTTGACGTACTTCAGGATCCACCCCTCGTGCTTCTTCGTGACGATCTCGAAACACAAGATACGGTCTTCGGCGAGGTACATGTTGCGCTCGAAAAGACCAGCTCCGTCGGAGCCTCCCCCGTGCATTGTCTCGCCGAGAAAGTACTTCTGCAGCGGACCTTCACCATTCGGCCCGTTCTGCAACGCGCGGTAGCGATAGGCGGAGAAGGCGCCGGGAAGCACAGAGATGTAGCCGAAGACTGACTCCAGGGGTTTATCCAAGATATTCGACATCTTGTACTCGAAGTTTTGAGATGCGACCAAAGGGGACTTGAGAATCTCGCTGCAGCCGCGACCGGGCTCAACACAGATCCTGAGCAACCATGTTAGCACTGGTCTCGGACGGACGTCTGAGGGATGCTACGAACTCGCCACAGGCGCCGCCGACGTTCTTGTGCTTGTCGAAGCACTTCCAGAGTTCGTAGATGCTGGTGCCAGTGGGCTTCGTGCCAACATCGAGCAAAATGCAAACGTTCGGCTTCAAGAGAGGGCCAAATGCGTTGAAGAACCAGCGATGCGAGTTGAGCTTCTTCTTGTTCTGCTCCTTCAAGCAGAACAGAATCTGTACGGGACAAGAGCCGGTGGAGACCTCGCCAGAGGCCGAGACGATCACGTTGGTAGTGTACTCGAAGATGTGGGCCGTGACGTCCTTGCTACCGACAGTATCCTTGGCGATACCCTCCTGGTAGCACCCCATCTAATCAATATGGTCAGCGATGTCAATGAACGGCCAGTTTATGGGACTTACGAGAGACAGAACGTGCAGGGTCCGCTTATTGATCTTGTTGCGACCGTCGGAGACTACGCAGACGACAACCTTCTTCCAGCCTTCTGCGCCCCACATCTTGGACTTGTTGCGAGAGCATAGATGGGCAACATTCTTGATCACACTAAGGGACCGTCAACATCATGGAATCAAATACGGAGAGGGATGGCCGGAGTAGGCATGTGCAGCCAAATGGATACGAGCACTGCCGCGGTCGATGAGATGGGTGGACGACTTACGCGTTCATCGTCCTAGTGAATAGAACCTCGTCCTCATTGTACATGGTCATGACAATGAAGAGCTCGGTCTGACGGCCGTAGAGATAAGGGCGCAGAGAATACTTGCTGCGCATGAAGTCGTCGGGGTCGCAAGTTGCAGCAGTGTAGCGCATCTTAGTGAACTCTTCGCCGGTCATCCCGCGCGGAACGATGTGCGACGGGACCTGGACATCCAACACCAGGTTTCCCTCCTGGAGCTGGACCTGGCGAACAGAACGACGCTTCATCATCTTCTCGCGAGCCATCGAGTACCCGGTGCTTTGCTGATGGATGAGCGGTCGCTGGCCAGGCGGATAATTTTGCGCGTAGTTCAGGGAGGGCACGGGCGGGGGACCAAGGCCGACTTCAGAAAGCTCGTAGCCCGAAGGGTTGAGATGGACCTGGGAACCAGCGTAGGTCGAGTTGTAAGAGCGACCGTCGAAGGACTTCTTGCTCTCCTCGTAGTACGGCGTGTTGGGTGATGTATGTTGAACATTGTTATATCCGTTTGGTTGGTAGTTGGAGTGAGGTTGCGGGTGACCGTAGCCAGCGGAAGGCGGGGGCGGAGGGCCAGGCGCGACACCAGTGTCGTGCAATCCGCTGTTCCCATGGCCGTAGTAAGGGTCCGGGTGGGCGTTGTACGCCATTGTCAAAGATTGTTTGATAGATTAGAGAACGGATGCCTTTATAGCTCAAGGCGAAGAGAGAGTGGGCGAGTAGAGAAAGACGGGGACACGGGGGATGCGGAGATGGCGGTCGGGAGCAACCAGCTTCCTTGGCTGGCTTTGTCCGCAGCTCGCTCGATATCAACTCGAGTAGTTCTTCTCGCGCGACCCATGTTCGGACATCTTCCGGTCAATGTCCGAATGCTCTCCAACGCTTCGTATTCCATTCGTTCTGGTCTGGGGCTGTGGCTTCCTTCAATGCCGCGAGCGACCTATGTTGGCTCGAGGAAGACAAAGACTAATGAAGGCGTCGGCAATGTCGGTAGCCTACATGGCTCCCGAGATCAATGCGATCAAACGTGGCCATAAGCTCGCCAGGAACGAGCTCGGCCCGCTCGCGTGACGCCCGAGAAATTGCTTGCGTTCGCGCTTGACGGCCATGAGCGTTCGCACCCCGCCTATCTTCAAGCTTTCACTCGCCAAATGGTCATTTTTGCACCGCGTCGAAGTTCATTAGTTTGCTTTTCACGTCTGCAACGAAGATTCCGGGCGTACTTATTGGCCAGATGGATAGCTTTCCTGCAACTGCAAATCTCCGAACTCTAAGCCGGAAACGGTATCTTGTCGACGACACTAGTGCATCATATCGAGGGGATCGTACTCCTTCTGAATCGCCATCAGCCACCCAATGCTCTAGCCGTATATTCTCTGCCCGCACTCCGCATATTGAGAGATCATATGTGAACCCAACAAAATGTGTCGCTCAGGTCCCAACAGCCAACGCAGAAGGCAAGCGATATGATGCAGTTTGGATGTAAAGCCCCGCAAACGCAACTTTCCGCTGTACGCAAGACTTAAACACGTTTGCGTTTCTTCGCCTATGATGGTAGTTTACGGTCATCAGTGTATTGAACCATGATGAGACAGCACAATAGAATTCGTATTCGACGATATTACAAGCCAGACCCGCGGGGCTCCATCTTCCACATCTCCACACGGGGAGGCCAGCCGTCCTCCTTCTCTTCCACAACCTCGATCGTCTCAACTATCTGCGCAAGTGCCTTCACCGCACGGTCCTCGATCATGTCCCTCGTCCAATAGTTCAGTTGCTGAAGAACAGATAACATCTGGAACCCCGCCGACGAGAAATTCGGTACAAAGAGGTTCATTTTGTCCATCTCGCGCTGTATTGTTCGAACGGCATCATCCTCCAACCGAGAGACATCGCGTTCGATGAGGACGCGGAGTGTGGTGATAGGAACTCCGTGCTTCTCACGACGCTCGCGCAAGGCTGCCTCCAGGTCCTGCCACCAGCTTGATAGCTTTTCGGGCTCGGAGGGATAGGCGATGTGCAGGCTGGAGAGAGCAGGGAGCCAAGGCTTCTCCTTGAAGCGCAATCCCACGATTGGGTATAGGCCCACACGCAGAAGCGACGTGCTCGACATCCAGTGATGGTCATGCAGATGAAGAGTGCGCACCGAGCACAGCTGTCGAAGCACCCTGCTGAATTGGAATTGTGTTCCTGTAACCTCAGGCAAGCTATCAAGATAGAGGTGATGTATTTCGCCCAAAGGCACGAGTGGGAAGAGTGTATGTTCCAAGATATCAATCCAACTGTGCGCGGCATCGTGGATGTTCACATTGATTGTTGTTGACGGATAGTTCTCCCGCTCGTCGCCAGGTCTCTGGCGTGCCACCGACATGACAAGGGTTCTACAGCTGTCACGAAACTGGAACGAAATATTGTCTGGGTGGACGGCCCGGATGTGTGAACGCAATGCGTCCAGGGAAATATGAGATCGAAGGAACGAAGGATTGATGCGCTGAACGGAAAGCTGCTGTAAAGCGCCTTGCGGATTGGTGGCCAGATGCGCTATAAGCCTGCGTATGATTGGGTGCCCAGCCCCCGGTCCTAGAACTTGCAGTCTGGTAAGAGCCGGTAGATGCAACGAGCCATCGGGTACGTCCAGAATCTCACGCGCATCGAGCGCATCATCTGTATCGATGTCGCGTTGATTGTAATAGGAATTGGGGTGATCCGTCCCTAGCAAAAGATGTGTGATGCTTGAGACCGTCAAGAGCATACGAGGGATTTCTACGTAGCGGTCCCGCTCCCAGAGCCGAAAGTACAATGTTCGCAGGGATGGCGCATTGAGGATGATCGGATGGGATGCGGAATGCATCGCTTGATGGTAAAGAGGGCCCTCGTTCGAGACCGCATGCTGAAGAGTAGGGGCTGAAACAGTCGAGGGAATCTCGGTCGACAACACGAGCGTCTCGAGTAACGGGAGAGGTTGCTCAAACGACGCGGGGGTCCAGCTATACCAACCGCAACGTACGACCCGAGCTCGGGGTATATGCGGACGCAGTAGCTCTGCACGTTCCCTGCGCGTTGCGGGGTGTACCATATTCTGGACCTTCTCGGGAGTGAGGTCGATGGTCAGAGGAGACCCTTTCGCGTATGACAGGAAATGGACCAAAGCCGAGTTATTGAGCGTGCATAGGTCGTTCGCCCAGAATCTGCCAATCCCTTGCAGTACAGAGCGCCAGTGGTGGCATATATGACCAAGTTTGATCCACCCCAAGTTGTGAACGCAGTGGCGGGAGTCGAACGGCCTACCACGGACGCATGCAGGCTCCTCGCGGTGTTGGCACTCTGGGAAGCCGTCACAGCAGGGACGCTGCATCAACTCGGCCGAGTTTGGGGCGTGCTTGGAACAAGAACATAGAGACGGTCGATCCTTCTCTACGACCCAGGAGAAGATATGCAGCAAGATATCAATATCAAGTAACGCCGCATTGGCGGGCACAGATCGGATCGCGAGGTCCAGAGCCAACCTTCAGAGCGATCAGACACGATGGCTTTCATCACGAGCGATAAGACACACCGGTTCAGGGACGAGTTTATCTGAGAAAAGGTGTATGCAGTACTCGAATACATGTCGCTGATGGTGAGTGCTCAGGACAAAGGTCGAGATTGCGGCGACTGAGACCGACACGTGTAGTCACACGCCCAGACTTGGACGCGTGATGATACACGCGCTGGTGATCGCTTGCATCATGACAAAGAGATGCCAGTGAGTGCAAAAATGCGTCAATGAAGGCAATTTGCGTTTGATCGGCTTTCCGATACCTACAGTGTACGCGATCGGACTCGTCCCGTCAACTCACATGATCGTGTCGACGGAGCGGGTAGTTCATTCCGTTCGGCATTACCATTGTATTGTCGCTCAACGGTTCTCCAGCGTCTCTCGACCTGTCACCTTATACATCGGTCTATTCTGTTTCCTACACGCCAGAGGATGCCGACCAAGCGGCTATATGTGCACTCAGGGGCGAATGTCGTACGGGCCGTTATGATGTCATGTCCCGCCGTCGCCAAACTGGAAGTGACCGTGGGCGGGCTGCTCGGCTATAGCCTCTGAGAAGCCACGACAGCCTACTCTCACACAGCGACCATGTCTGACTACAAGCTCACTATCCTTACTGTGCCGAAGCTCTCTGGTCTGCATTGTTCGCAATTGGGTTGTGACGACGATGGTTAACGCGACCATAGAGCTTCCCAGCGAGGAGACTGCGCTCGGGGCGGCGCATGCGCTCATGGCAGATACCGAGAAGTGGAAGAAAGGGAAGAAATTCGACCATGGGCATGTGCAGACATACTCGCGAGCGAAAGGCGCTGGCGACGGCGCAGGCTGGCACTGTCGCGTTTCTGAACACGGGCCGGAGGATGCGTCGTTTGACGAGTTCTGGAAGAACCTCGGTATCGAGCATTCTGTGCGGGAGAAGGAGTATGCGACCTTCCGTGTATGACATATCACTCCGCGAGACTGAATTTTATCTCGAGATACATCAAGGAGGTGAAGAAGGCGACGCTCATCAAACAGATCTCGCCCGAGCAAGCCATCTGGTCGATGTACTACGAGTTCTCAACACTCGGCGTCTCCTCGCGCGTCTTCACCGCGCTACAAATAGCCCATCTTGAGACGGAAGATGGACGCAGAACCGGGTATGGCAACTTGACTTCCATACGTGCACCTGTCTGACGTGACGTTGATAGGTACTTCATACAAATTCCCGTCGACTTGGCCGAAGACTCCGAGCTCGCGAAGAAGGAGGAGAAGGGTGTCAAGGGCCGCTACGTGAGCGTTGAGCGTCTCAAGGAGCTTGAGAACGGCAAGGTCGAGTGGCGTATGGCAACATCCAGTTCTCCGGGTGGGAGCTTGCCTAGCTTCCTCGTCGAAAGCACCATGGCCGGGCAAATATCTGCTGTAAGGACTTCCTCTACATACGCCACGCTGTCATGATCTGAGTCTTGGATAGGACGTCCCACACTTCTTGACATGGCTCAAGTCTACGCGATCGAAGGATGAACCCGCGGCGCCGCAACCTGCCGAACCTATTCCTATACCGAGCGAGGAGCACGCCGCGGGCCCCCTCGCGGAGACTGATGCAACCGACGCTGTGAAGGCGAGCGTGAGTGTGCCGGACGCGGGTGGTGTTCCCGCGGCTGCCTAAAGCAGACACCGTTAGCCGGACCATTATGTCCGCGATACTCACGACTGCCTTGATACTACAGATGTCATGGTTTTACGAATACTTACGAAAGGAACCCACCTTGTGCGATTCTAGTCTCTTGCTATTGTGTAAATACCCCCTGTATAGGATACCGTTCATCTCCTCGAGGTCTCTTGACGTCCCATAGAGCGTAACACTACTGTACCCGGTACCGGGTCTCTTGGATTCAGGGTCGCCTATGGACCTGAGTGCGCGCAAGAAGGCGACCAGAAGGCCTACATGCGCGTACGATGTGCCTCTACAGCCCTCATTTGCGCCCTCAGGCCTCATGTATCGGAATTCCTGAAGTTCTGGTCCTCGCGGAATGTGATACCCTCGCCGCCTGTCATGCCTTGGAATGCTAGCGTATACGGCGGTACCGTTGTCAGGGATCGTCGTCCTCGTATTTGCTGCGCAGTCAAAGCAGACCGGACCCGGCGGCACGCGCAAAGACACGCCCACGCCGCCAATCTGAAGCGCCACAGCCACAGCCGCCGTCCATTGATTTTCGTATTTGCCGTTTGGCTTCATCACCTTGCCCACTGCGCGTGTTGACGACCAGACACATGCGAGAGTCGCGCATATACGCTGCCGTCGAGTCCGCGACTTGAACGCCGAGCTGCGACCAGAGTCTAGGCGAATCTACAATGAAGCCCATAATGGATGGGCGCCTACGCGCCTGCAGGCGAGTTGCACCCGCGCTAAACGAACACAAACTCTATGCGCTCTATATGACAATCTTCTCGCTGAGCGTCCCGCAGGTAAAATAAGGCAAAAAGGCTACTAGCCGTATTGCAAGGGTATGAGCTACTACGTGTTGTACATGCGCAGATTCCGAGAGCGGATGCGACAGGCGTATTAGCTGCGGACTACGTACGTACGATGCGTAAGGGACGGTGATGTGATGCGTGCAAGAGGAGATGGGGTGGTATACAGCGTATGAACAGAATTAGTAGGCCCAGAGGTCCAGAACGGTAGGCATGACAGTACTGTCCGGGAGGGTTTGCATGGGATGACGTGCAATTGGGCCAAACCAGGGGGGATTGCATGCGAGAGAGCAAAGACGAATAGGGTTATGTATGTACGAATAAGGCAGGGAGCGTTCAAGAATTTGTCTGACAGCCATGACAGTCGTGAGTGATGATGTTGAGATGTAAGAACGAACTGGGAGAGTCAAAACGGCGATGCGGGTGGGTATTGCACATTGCGGATGCAGCAAGACGAACGAAACATGTACAGTGCAGAACAGAATGGAAGGGTGAGGCGAGACGAAGCATATGCGGCGTTAGAGTACGGCGGTCAAGCGCACGAGCGCATACACGCCCAGCGCAAGGCCGGCGCCAACCAACGTGCCGATGCTCGGCCCCGCCTGGCGCGGGGGCGCGGCGTGCGCACCCGAGTCCTCATGGGGCTGCGGCAAGCCAGCGATCGTTGCGGAGATGAACTTGGTCGCTACGTCGCGCGCGGCTGTCAGAATTTCCGAGCCGGCCGTAGGCGATGCACCCTGGAGCGCGAGCTCGCGTAGGGCGCCTGCGAGGCGGAAGTCTTCCGGTGACTCGAGCGTCACCGTGTCGGGAACATCCGCCTTGGAGGAAGAGGGGGTTGTAGGGAATTTGGCGTCATGCTGCGTGAGCGCGATGCCGAAGTCGGAAGCGAGTACTTGGTCCACGACTTTGCGGATTGGGACGCCACGGCCGGCGCGCCTAGATAGGTACTCCTCGAGCCAGGTGACGGACTTGTGCGAGTAGCTAACCGAGCGCTTGTGGCCGCGACGCGCGCGCTCGTGCGGGTCTGGACCGGTGGTAAGGGCGCCGACGTAGAGATCGTTGCGCACGGCCTGGACGCCGCACTGGCAGCCCTGCGCGCCGTCGTCGGTAGCGCGCGATTCGGGCCAGGTGAGCGAGTCGGGACCGTAGACGTAGACGTTGTACGCGAGGCACTCGCTGCAGAGTGACCGCGCGCGAGTGAGCAGGTAGTCGGCATACGCAGTCCTCGTCTCGGCTAGCAGATCGTCGGTCACGGTCGGCAAGAGATAGGAGCGGACATGGAGGAATATCTCAGGTGGAATAGATGCGATGGTAGTTTTTGCGCCAGAGTCGGCGGTGCGCAGTGCGCCGTGCGAGCGCAGGGCGGTGATGCGGTCGAGGGCGTCAACCTCGGGCGAGAGATGGGCGAGGACGGCGTGTGCGAGGAATGTCTGCGAGACGTTCATGCTGGGCGCTGGCGGGGTCGTCGTGATGTAGTTCGTGAGTGATTAGGCGGAGAGTATTTATATCTGTACGGTACGAGACGGGAGATGGTCCTTATTGTTATGACCGGACTTTATACCTGACTCGCGCGTGGCACCGAACCCCGGGTTATCTAATGGACCCGCGAAATGAACTTGTTTCGAATCACGACGCGTGCAAAACAATAGAGCTGATCTCCGACACTCGATCTGCCTTTTCCAACGTCTCACCCTGCCATCGACAACAGCTCGGAAGCGAATCTGTGTGGTCGCTGCGAATAGGCATGGCTCACCCAGATCTCGTTACAGCTCGAGTTGGACGTGCAGGGAAGTAGGCACAAGTGTCACGTATGCCGATGACATGAGGTACAGAGTTGGCAAAGAAAGAAGCGGTCCACAGCCACAGCGGTGCCTCGTGGAGTCCCGGCGCGGTCGCCCGTTGGCCACGCGAAGTTCGTCCGGGACAACCCGCCGCGTCCAATATCTCCATTCCAGACCGCCATCTCACCTCCGATGGCGTACAAAAGCGCGCGTAGGACGTCTGCGTCCACTTCTGAGGTCCTCGACGATCCAAACGATCCGCAAGCCTTCCGTTTAACCTTCCAAGACGCCTGTGCATTTGGACGTCATAGACGCGCAGGCTTTTGCCGCGCCACAGACGAAGTTGCGGTCTGCAGCGATGGTGCTTTGTTCTGTAACTTCTTGCTCCGTCTCCGTCTCCATTTTTCTCTCGGACCACTGTGCAAGCGGTTGCCGGCGCCGCATCGCCGTGCGACGCGTCATATCAATGGCAACTCTAATCATCTCTGGGTTCTTGTAGGGCCACACTTCAATATTCTTGCTCCTCCTTCGCGGCGCGGACAATCTCTAAGCTCTCCACCTGGTAAAAGCTGAGTTGGCACGGACGACGAAGGTACTTCTGGCTTGCGCCGACACCGCGGTGAACGTCCGTGGAAATCCCTGCCCGTACCAATTTCATTCCGCAATAATTGAGCGCTCCTCCCGTGAGGGCCTCTGGACGTCGCCGTCAACCTCAAACGCCAAGTTGCTCAGATGATCGAGCGCCCCCGGTTTTTGTACACGCAAATTGCAATGTACTTACACTTGTAAGCCGCGCGTTCCGTGTCGGCGCTGCGTTCGAGAGCGCGCCCGCAGTCAAGATGTATCATTGGCCTAAGCGCGGCGCGCGCACGGGAGTCATTGTTCGATGATTGAGGAATGGTCCTCGCCGTTCGCCGCCTTGAACGAGTAGCTCTAACTGGGAACTGGGTTGTCTACCTGTTGTGGTTGTCGTATACCGCATGTATGGCGCGGAGCGCAGCACATAGCCGAAGAGAGCCTACATTGGCACAGCGCCCGCCATCATCATCGCCCGCGCAACTCACACCCGAGTCGTCATGTTTTGGATTTTGTGTATGTCTCGCTGCGCGATCGGATATTGCCGCGATGGTGCGGGTATGCTCCGCATCGTCCGAGGCTCTTCAACTTCTTTTACGAGGAATGCAACACGCCTTTTCATCGCCGAGCTGACCGCTCTGACAGCTTTTCCCGTGCCTACTCAATTGGATACGTTCTTGTACGTTCTTGTAGGATGTAAGTGTTTTCATACTTTTCGGCCATCTTGACCTCCCGCTGATCACTTCCCCCATTGGTACGCCGTTAATGAACGGCGCTCAGACCGGTCACGGCGCGCCCCGACACAATGCCGAAGAAGCCAACAATCTCAACTGCTTCTATGCCCCGTCCAGACATCACCGGTTCTTCCGAGCACAGTTTGACTTTGACCCATCTCCTCGGACCTACGGAAGTATAAGCGGGGCGACCCACGGACAGAGAAGTGAGGCGTTGACGAGGAGCACATCCCGACTTCCTCCTTTCTCATTCTCACGTCTGGTAACCTTCTCCAGTGCGCCGCTCGTCATTCGCTTGTGGCAGCCATGGCCTCGACAGTCTCCTGAGAGCAGACCAGATGTGACCTCCGTCAGGTAGTTTGAAGACGGAGATCAGTCGGTGGACATGCCACGATCACCCTGGAAATACTCCCATGTACATGGACGAGCTTGGTTTGCGGTTTGATGTTCGGAGCTCAGGCTCTCTAAAGTTTCGTCGCTCATGACAATGAAGCGCGATAACTCTGTCAGACACATGTACACTCGCCCGCCTCAATGCCACTCGGCATATCAAGCTTGGAAATGCGTATTGAGGTATGAGATCTTAAGGAGTGTCCAGTCACAGAGTTGAATTCAAAGCCTCAGGCCGGCTCATTGTGCACAGCTTCAACGAGCGTAAGATCATCGAAACCCATGCAGAATCGCCTATCACTACCGAGTGGCAGCCGTCTTCATTCCATCATCTGCCATTCACAGGCATGTGCACGCTCGCAGAAGTGACAGCACAGGCATTTGCTGTCTACTTGATGAGAGCCAGGCTAACGTCTAGTCAGTACTATACTTGTATCTGCAAGCTTGTCAAACATCCTCACCGTATTTCAGATGGCAGTAACTGCATGACGCAGATCCCAGGTCGACATCCCGCGCCATATACCGTGAGTGCGAACCTGGAGATCGGTGGACTTCGAGCGCAATACGATAGTAAATGGAACCTCGAGATGCCCCCTAACGATGGTCGTCGTGACGCGAACGCTTTCGCCTGGAGCGACGTTTACGGGTAGAGAAGCTTTCCATAGCTTAGAGGACGAGAAAGCATGTTTGTGGCCATCAAACTTCCATGTCTTCTCCATGTGCGAGACGTCGATCATGGATATCTTCCCTTCTAGCACCATAGGTATGCCAGCTATGGATCATCATGACGGTCGAGTATGAGATCGACGGAATGCGTGAATGAGCCAATCGGCTTACTTTCGAAGGCGGCAGTGGCTTTGATGGGGAAACCATGAGAGTACTCCCATGTACCCGTGTGTATCTTGCTCGCGTCAAGCTCGAAGCGGAACTCTTGCTCGCGCGATGTTTGGTTGACCATGGTCTGCGTACCGAGGACATGTGTCTGTGGGTCGTGTATGATGCCCGTCGCAAGATCGTATTCGATGCGCAAGAACTGCATCTTCTCGGGAATAAACTTGAAGTATTGTTCTGGACGCTTGTTCGTTAGGTTATCGAGGCCCGTGACTTCGTTGCTCAGGTATGGCTCCGAACTCGTGACTCCATCATTGAGCACGATAGTGTCCTTGTTGATCAATCGGAATAGGCCCTTGAAGGCACCCTCTCCAGGCTCAAGATTGAACCATAAACAAGAGGTGTCCGCGATGAGCGACACGGCTTACTTGATATATGACGACTACTCACTCGTCTAAGTCGCCCCCTTCATCATCGAAATTCCGGTGCCACACCGGATGTATCTCGCTGATGCGGCTCGAGGTGATGCAATTGCCTGTTGCCTTGTTCATGATAGCGTAGCGCTGGTCCACCTCGCTTTGCTCGGTACTATGGATGAGCGTGAATAGCTGCTCCGGATTATCTCTGGCAAAGGATTTCTGGGTAACGTGTGGCCTCCGACCGGCACGCGAGACGAGGGCTTTCTTGCTGGCGTGACCGACCAAGTGAAATAGTAGGCCCTCCGGAGGAATGTAATAGGGCGCATTGGCCATAAGTAGCGATCGCTGACAGCGTCTGGCAAGCGCAAGCAGAGGGGTAGGTTGAGGTTACGTTCAGAGGTCTATCCTGCCCAGGAGACCTATAGTTCTCTAAGCTGAGTCAACTCACGTGCGACCCTCGAGCCGATAGAGCGCAGATTCATTACCATATCTGACAGGGCATTGCACACTGTTTGTCCTCAGCGACCCGCGCGATTGGACTACCCGCGGATGTTCCGTAACATCTGTAGCGTTCAGATGTGAGAATAGAATGGAGCGGACCCGAGGAGAACGATACCGGGCGGAGTTCGCGTGGATCTATCTGGCAAGGATGTCAGTGTAGGGTAATCGCTCTCCCAAAAGATCATGCATTCCCACCTCCCATGCTTTCCGCCTCTCGAGTAGACACGTATATGCATGAGTCACGAGACTTAACGGGACTTGGTACCGCGATGGCTCGTTCGGCTGAATGCTCAGATAGCTGAAGGGACACTTTGTCCCAAGTGTGTGTCAATATGTCCCGTACTGCAAATCTAGAATCAATGCTCATTCATAGCTACCTCAACTTTCGGACTGAAGAACACGCCGAGCAGATCAGTGTACAATGCGGATCAAAGGCGTGAGATTGTCAGTCTCTTCAGGCAAGGCTAGGACATATCGCCGTAGCTCGGGGCGAATAAGGTCACTGAGGACAACAAAGACGTCACTGTCGATGGAAAAGATCTATCGGAGTAGAAATCGAGTTTACATATCGGTGTGCAAATCTGACATTCAGAATAGCCATCGCGGCATTACTCGAAGACAGTCTTGAAGACGTGACGCAAATCCCAGGTAGGAGGTCCGCGCCAGACACCCTTCGTCTTAAGATCGAGCTTGTAACCTTGAGCACACACAGTGAGAGTGAATGGGAACTCAAGATGGCCGCATTTGAGGGTGTTGGTAACCCCAACCTTCTTTCCAGGACGCGCCTTCGCCGCAGGGAAGGTCGCGCCTCATAGTATTCGAAGAGTCGTACGTCCAGACACCATTGTACGAGACATCATTCTGGGATTTGCCCAAAACGATCGCGGGGATGCCGGCTGTATGATGGGCGTCAACGCAAGCCCTATGAGATCACGAATGCATGCGCACCTTTGAACAGGGTATCGCCAGAGAGGTTAACCGGACTGGTACTTCCGAGCACTAGTATGCTCCTCCATATGGTTGACGTCAAACCGGATTTCCTAGTCGTATGACGCCTTGTTCACGATTGTGCGCGTGTCGAAGATCACTGGCGCTTCGTCGATTGTTTTGCCGGCTTTGAGGTCATACACGACGTGTACGGATTCAGGAGCGTCGAAGAGGAGGGTCAAATGCTGGTCCGAGGACGGTTGCGGGATCGGGTTGATATCGTCCACTTGTGGGTGATGCTGCGTGCGGCTGAAGACGACGGTGTCCGTGGACTTGTTGGCAAATCGGAATTTCCCTTCGAAGTCACCCTTGTCTAACTCAAGTTCAAACCAGCTAGGGTTGACGGAGTCAGTCTAGGGAGTAAACACAGGAACTACGTCTTCAGCTCACATGCCATCCATTTCGCTCTGACAGTCCCAATCGGTCGACCCCAAGCTCGGGTATCCCGACGCGTTGCATTGTATGAACTTGCTCGAGTCCTTGCTCTTGATGGCGTATTTGCCGCGGCGCGAATCCTTGTCGTGAACGACGGTGACCAACTGGTCAGGCTGCACTTCTTCGCTCGGACTATGTGTGGCCTCTGCGTTATATTGAGTGCGGAGAGCGAGAACGTGCTGCCTGGCGTAGCCGAATAGACGGAAGGGCAGACCCTCGGGTGGGTTGTAGAAAAAGTCGGACATGATGAAGAGTGGCTGGGGGGGTAATTGGCGGCGGACTAGTGTGGCGGGTTCCATAATCGTGCAGAAACCCATATAGAGTGGACGTAGAGTTGACCTTTCCGGTTTGGCGACCAGAGTAGCCGTGGCGAAAACCGCTCATTTGAGGTAGATGTCGACGGACATTTCGGTCCATCATAGCTGCCTGCGATTGCATAAAGGACATGCGGATGTCGCATATCAAAGGTGCATAGACAGCTGGTGACTGAAGATTCATCAGTACCGTGACAAAGCGGTTCAAGATGAGCTTACCTCCACAAAGGACAGTACGCGTTTAGACGCCCGACTTGACCAACCCCGTCATCCGTGCGCAGCATCGAGTGCGGCTCTGCCGTCATACCAGCCATCCATTTTGCTACTCGGATTGAGACACGAAAGCGAGTCCGTGGAGCATGACCATCAAAGACAGAGGGGGAATGGGTATGGAAGTTCAGAGCAGACACGCGCTCGGCGCAACTTGATGTATATCTTGACGCGTACGTCACACAGATTGAAAAGTCGCAATAGCGCAAATGAGGGAGTGGATAGCAGTACTTGAACGTCGTGGTTACGGTACAAGGGTGAGTGGTACTGAGCAAACAGCGTGACTCGCCACCATCAGCGTGATGACCCGGCCGTCTTTTCGTTCACCCCGTTCACCCACGCCTTCCGTGCTATGTCCTGTGGCGTCTTCTAGAGAGAGCATCCATACCGTACTAATGGGGCACCCTCGAACGTGTACATCCGAGCCTCCGAGGGTAAAAGCTGCATGGACCCACGCAGGCGATACGACATGATCTTCTCATGCACGACTTGTACCGGCTCAGGCAGGCCGCAGAGATGGTCTTCGATGATAGAGGCGCTGATTCGGAGATCGATACGGAAGCGTATGGGTACGCTCCGAAGCCGCATTAGGTACGATATAAATGAACAAGGATTGCTGAAAGCACAGCAGAAGATGACGACTCTGACCCTAACCCTAGCCCGAATGAGTTCACTCGGCGCGCTCTTTCGACTTTGTCTCGACACCCACTCCACCTGTCAGTTATACATGTCCATCGGCCGGATGACTAGAAGATCAGATGAACACGCTCACGTATGCATACGGACACACACGGCATCCAAGTCGCCCATCTCCGTTCTTTCGTCGCTTCGCTACTGTACCCTTCTCCGGAGCTCTCACCGACCACACATGCTGCCGAACTTCACCGACTGTATGCAGTTTCTATAGTTCACACTGATCGGCACAGCCTGCCTGCGATCTGAGATCACGAATAGAGGAAGGAAGCGATTCTTATCGATTGAGGGTGGTGTACAGACTAGTGCGTAAGGGGAATGTATTTTACGATGGCGAACGAATGGTGAGCGAGCGAGACAGGGGGTTGTATCAGTGTATGCAACAAGAGCTTTAACAGACAAGGACTGGTAGCAATATAAGTATAAATGATATGCACGGGATGCGTGAGTGGAGGATATATGCATGAGACAAGCAGTGGTGACAGAAGAGTAGCATAGGGTTCGCGGGGCGATGGGGTCCGTCCGTGTATGTCGAGATCGCAGCGCGCCGAGGGGCGGGGAGTTTTCATGTCATAAGTAGCGAATAAATACGCTGCGAGTTTATGCGGCAATTTGCTGGTGGAAGCTGAGCAGGAGTAGAGCGTCCTCAACGCGGACGCCGTGCTCGTGCGCATGCTCGACTGGAAGCGGCGAAGGCAGCTTGAGCGCAACAGGTACCGAGACTGGGGGCGGAGGGAGCACATTGTGCCCCTTGGCCCAGGGCTCCTCAACGCGGGCGGGTGCGGGCGACGCGCCCGAGCCAGGCGTAGGTGCCTCATCGGCGTCGTCCTCGTCAGTGTGCATGTCCTCATCGTGATCGTGATCGCGGTCCTGCACATCTTGCATCGAGACATCATTCTCATCGAACGACGTAGCGGGGGTACCGCTGCGCGAGTGAGTGCGGCTGCTGTGGCTATCGTCGCCGTCTTCGTCGTCGGCGCCCCTGGCCTTACGCTTGCGCGAAGTCTGACGCAGGTTCCTGAACCAGTTGGTCACCTTGGCGAGGTCCCTGCAAGACAAACAAGCGATCCATCAGCATACGCATATACTTTGACCGAGGCCCGATCGGGAGCGGCGGAACACGCCAGGAGAAGTAAGGGCCGATGTGTCAGAAGAGACTACTCACATTCCGATCTCGAGCGCCAGCGCATTGCGCTCTTCAATGGATGGGGTGGCAGTCTGGCGGTAAAGCCTCCTGAGCGCGGTAAGCTGCTGAGGGCTTGGCCGCGAGCGACGGGGACGAGAGCCGGAGCTGTCGACTGAGCCAGCGAGAGATGGTGCCGGACTATCCTCGCGGTGGAGTAGATGCGACAACGAGGGTGGCAGTGCCGAACCCGGAAGTTGCTCGCTTGCAGTAGGGAACGGACTGTAGCGATGTGACTTGCTCACAGAGCGAGACGCACGCCCATGAGATATCGGTGCCGGAGCCGGAGTCGAAGCCCTTGTCGAGGGAGCGCGAGAGTCATCCTCTTCAGCCTCAGCTCTGCGCTTTGCGAGGCTGCGCTGGTTCTGGAACCAATTTGTGACGCTCTGGTAGCGCCTGTACAGAGAGCGAATCATGAGCGTGGGTCACTCCGAGACGAGACAAGAATTTGATAACGTACATGCCGATGCGCTCGCAAAGTTCCTCCCGCTCTTCGCGAGTGGGATGCGGGTTGCGGGCGTAGAGGCTACGCATCTCGTCCGTCTGGTACTGGGACGGGCGTGAGCGGGCCTTGGGCTTGGAACTCGCAAGCTCAGGCTGCGCAGCGTCGTACATGTGCCTGAACTGGGGATTGCCAGCGTAAAAGGCGGCCTGGTGGTGCGGATCGGCGGTCGGAGGCGGGCCGTAGGATGCGTAGCCGAGCGAGGGGTGCTCTGCGTGCAGCAGTGGCGGGCCCGGGTACTCGCCCTGGCCGGCGTATTCGGGGATCTCGATCTGTTCGGCTGTTGCCGACGGCGGCGGCGGCGTTGAAGCGAGCAACGTCGCGATGGGCGGGAGCTCCAGCGATTGTTGATACGAAGCCGGCGGTGCAACGGGCATCGGCGCTGGTGGCGCGGCAGCTGCCGGTAGAGGGGGACCAGTGGCGGCGGTGGCTGCTGCCTTGTTATTATTCCGCTTTTTGTTAGACGCCCGCTTGTTCTGGAACCAAGCGTTGACCGTCTTGACCTCCCTGCAATGACATCGGTCAGCACTTCATGGTATGCCACACAGCCGATCTGAGATACGCACATTCCCAGGCGCTCTGCGAGGTGGGTGCGGTCGTCGAGCGAGGGATGCTCGTCGCGGTCGTAGAGCTCGTTCAGAAGCTGGAGTTGATGGGCCGAATGGCGGTGGCGGGGCTTTTTTGGCTGAGCCTTGTCCGTCGATGTGGACGGCTCCTTGCTGATGCCGGCGTCCTCTAGCCAGGCGGGCGGCATGGTCGGCGATGAAGGAGAGAGGGGGAGAAGAGGGTGACTGAGCAAGTTTTCTCCGGTGCTTTAGCTTATACCGTCACCCTAACTTAATGAGTGCACCTTGTAAACATCTTCTCACGACTTGCCGGTGCCTTATTAGATTCAGCTGCTATACGCCCGGTTCATGAACCTTGTTCATCCCGCCTTGCCTTTGACATCCATGCCACCTTTTGCATTGCATTGGCCCCACCGGTGCTTTGCGCCTGCATGCAGCACGTCCAGGACATGGAGTAGCAGCCTATGAGCTATAAGCAGCATGCTGTGACCGGCTCAACCAGATGTAGCGCGCGGGCGGTGCCTTGTAAACGTATGATGCGATGGATCATGTCCACACACCACTTCTCACAAACGCCTCCCTTCGGCTTCCTCCCTTCCGCATGCACTGCACACAGACCCGCTTTGCTCCCCATCTTTGCCGTCCTGTATAGCGCAAAGCGTGCCGTCCGCGGCGTAGCTACTAGTCGTTTGCCTTCTCCACTTACGGCCGGAGTCGCGGCACGCGCTCGCACCGAACGGGGCAAAACATGAACTTTCTCGTCATGGGTGACGCCCTAGAGAAAAACCGCGCGCGCCCAGATGCAGATGCTCTAACGCCCCCTCCAGCTCGGAAACGTACCCACGTCCCATAGCCTCTTGCTGATGATACCACAGTCGGGCATCTGCGTCTCCTTCACGTTCCACTCCAACTTCTCTGACGCTCACGTCGTACAAGTAGCAGCTGCCAGCTATGCACCAAAGACAATGAACAAAGCACAACAGCACGCGGATTTGCGGAATAGACTTGCCGTCGCCCGAACGCGCAGCCCGATTGGGCGTCGGATGTAAATTGAGCAAGGAGACCGAGTCGGGTGGGTGCCACGGCCCACGGGCGCTTCTAGACCATTTCATCAGAGGAGATGTAAGGTAGATTCCCTCAGCTCCGCCGCCGCTTCATCTTCCCTAGGTTGATTTCAGAGCTGATAGTCGCAGCGCCTGTTATAACCGCGAACCAGCTTCCACAGAAGTCCCTCATGCCACTATCGTATCATGGGCGCCCATCCATCTCCAAATTCTATCGTATACGCGGTGCCATGGCGAGCGTCGAGGTCGATACGGGCGGCGGTTGCTTACCCGCGTCGGCCAAAGCTCAAAAAGGCTCGGTTGATTTGATCGTTGATCCCTGACTGATACAGCAGCTGTCACTCAACCTGCTGTCGACTTGCTCGGTTGTCGTGGGCGCCAGATGACATCACATGGACACGTAGCTGGTAGTAACGCGTGGGGCCACGCTATTATTGCCTGATGCGGATTATCCGTGCACTGTATGCGATCCATGCAATGATCAGCGTCTCCTTCCTGCGAGTCCATTCATAAGATGATGATCTATTGACCGTGGTATGTGGGAAGGGCCATAGATGCGCAGAGATAGGATCGTGTGTGGCGGATAGAGCATCAAGCTCTGATACAGCAGTTACAGTGGTCGGGGACCCTGGCCTGTCTGCGGGCGTAAGCCCGAGCTCCGCCCTTCTGTTCGTTCACACCTGAAGCTGATACAGTGATATCGCCACCCTTCATATCAAACCAAGTATAGTATCGGGTACCACATCGCGCTGCGCCGCAAACCCGCATCGACAAGCGGCAACCAGTACGAGGACGATGTTGCAAGTAGCTGATGCAGCGCCTCATCAGGCGACGGGACGAGCGACGGCGCGATCCTCGGAGAACAATGATAGAAGCGCTCGAGCATGACATTAGATGCATACAGTAGTAGGTCAGTTTGTTTAGTATAGTACATGGTTCTGTTCGCACGAAAGAGCAGAGCCTGTGGTATCATCTGTCAAAGTGTTCCCGTTGCCTGAATATGGGCCGTCAACTCTACACGCCCTGCCCTCTGGACATTCCGAAGAGATCGCCGCGATCGGCATAGCCAAGGCGCTATGAGGACGGTTCCTCTGAGCTGGAGTCGTAGCTAGAGTCGCGATCGCCGTCGATGTTCTTGATCCATGCGCCTATTGCCCCGCTAGAAAACGAGGGTCAATCTTCTCGCAGCAAAGTGAGAGTAGAGTATGCACGCACAGGAAACCTTCGTGTCGCAGGAAGAGCGCGCGCTTGGTGCCTTTGCTCCAGAAGCGGATTGCATACGACAGCGTAGCGATCGTGGCAGGGTGCCCACGGATGAAGCATCCGCCGAAGTAGATGCGATCCAGTCCATACTTCTCCGCATTCATGAACCTGTGAGCATGCATACGCAATTTAACGTTCCAAGTCACGCGGGAAAGTCAAGATGAAGGAGTACGTACGCAATTTGACCAATGTTGTTCGAAATGGCGTAGAGTAAGCTCTTGGAGATGTCTTCTGGCCGGAAGGAGCGCTTGTGGTCGCCCTTCTTGAAGACCTTGCCAAACGAACTGGCGATCATCGTGCTCTTGAGCCCGAGCTTTGAGTAGTCCTGACCGTAGATATCACCGACAAGCATGTCCACTGCTTCGTTGTCGCCTCTTTCCGAAAAGTCCAACATCTCTGTATGATCGCCGTCAGTGTCACAGTCTTTGCGAGCAAGTTGAAGGAAACGGCGCACCATCGAAAGTCGTCGCAGGCGTAAGGAGCGAGAGTAGACCCCAGAGCGTGCCTCCCCCCAGGCTCGTTCCGCTGACACGCTCGAAGGAGCCGTCTTCTGCGACACGAATGACGGAGACACCGGATCCGATATTGACTAGCAGACATGGCAATTGGGGGGCCGGATTGCTCTCGAACGTGACTGCGAACTTGGGCGGGTTGGGACTTGGTCGAGGGAGGTCCTGCGCTGTCTGAGGCGTTTCCACAATAGCGCTACCTCCATGGACTACGCTCTGAATGAGGCGATCGCTGAAGAAGTAGACCTCATCCGGTATGAGTGTGATGAAGCTCAATCCCTCTATCAAGCACTCCATCTCGTCCTCCCTCCGTACCTCGACCGCAAGCTCTTCCTTGAACAAGTCGTAGAACCTATGCGCGCCGCCGCCCGTGGCCATGATCTTCACGCTCGCCCGCATCTCTTCTACGCTCACTCCGTTTACGCGCGCTGAGCGCTCGATGAGAGCATGGATGAACACAACGCAGTCATCGATGTGTTCCGTCTCGAACCGCTCAAAGTTCAAGCTGCCGCCCGGGAAGTGCTGCATCCGCTGCGCGCGAAGAAGCGAGCCGGCGAGAGCGTGATCGAACGGGTTCCCATTCGAGTGCCCATTAGGAGCATCGAGAACCATAGGCGTCAATGCCCCATTGTCGCGCGGGAAGGCAGAAGGCGGAGAGGATTCGGATGCGGGAGAGTGCGGGTCGGGAGTCGACAGATCGGTGTGTGTGCTCGAGCCGTTGGTCGCGATGATCGACGGCGAGGACGGCGGTTCCGGTGACCGCGTGAAGTATACGACTTTCGCCAGCGAACCTCCAACCTGTATCCATCAGGATCTGCACCGAACAATGGACGAGGGCTGATGACGTACATCTACTGCTATATGCGATACCGGTTCGATGTAGTTCGGCAGGTATATGCCTCGGCTGTCGCGTGTCTACCGAATAGGAGATAAGCATACGGCCTACGCAATTCAGCTGCGATAGCACGCACTTCGGGCGATTCTTCGTGGAGGATGACTGCCCCGCGCGTGTCGACGTGGATGCCCTTGGCCGCAGGCAGCGGTGTCGAGCTGGTGGACGCCTGCGCGGTGACGGTCATAACAATAATGGGGTAGAGGTAGCGCAGGGATGGGGTATCATGTAGCAGTCAGAGGTGTAAACAAGAGCGAGCCGAGGCGCAGCTTATGAATGTTTCCTTCCCGTTTTTTTCTGGCGGATGGGACGACTCGTGCGCGTCCGTGGGGGTTCCGTCGCGGCGTCGCGTAATGCGCTCGCGTCGCTGTGGTCAAGTGTTGTGGGGATGCTTGTCTCGGCCGACTGGGGTAATTTCACCGCGTGCGCCGCGCCTTGTTTCCTCGAACAGCTGCAATGCACAAGGCTCTCCGTTCTATCCCGTCTCTCCGACTCTCCGTCCCAGACGCAGTGATGAGCACGGCCGTACTGCATTATCATTGTGGCGTACGAGCCGGACCGGCAACACGCGCTAAGGTACCCAGTACCACAGTGGCGCGTGAAAGCGTCCACCTTCTCATCCAAACCGGCCCTGCTTTCGCTTCTCTACGCCCTAGTCTCCAATAGGAAGAGTTCTCCGGCTACGAATCTCGTCCGATATAGAATAAAGAAATCCACAAGGTACAGCTATACACCGTACGATTCACAACATGCCCGATCAACGCCATCCGACATACGATACTTCTAACCACCAATCGCTGCCAGCACAAGGTCACACGCGGCTTGCTGTTCGGCGCGTACGACAAGCTCGAGCGTTACGCCCTCTCCGCGCGAGTGCGTCATCCGGCAACGTACGAGAACCTTGCCGCCACCGCCAATGAGCAGGCCTGCGAGTTGCATCGTGTGTACGGGGCCGGTACCAGCCGTCTGCGAACCCCCGAGAGCCGCAAGCCCGAGGATCTCGACGATCGAATCGCATGCCGCTACAGACGTTATATGAGCAGATAGCACGGATCCATCAAGGGAAATGAACATACCCTGGATGCTGTCCATCGCGGAGAGCGCAAACGTTTCGGTTGCGTTCGGTGCCGCACGCAGCCGCTCCCACTCTTGCGCAAAGTTCGCATAGCTCGGCACAAGGTAGTCCCCACCAGCAGCCAACTCCACATCCTCGAGCTGATACTCGTCCTCGTAGCCCTCCTCCTCGGGCTCGCCAGTGCTTGGGTCGACCTCTTTGCTGATGAACTTGAGCACACAGCCGAAACTCGCCACAGGGAAGCTCTCCGGCTCGTTGCGCGTGAACGAGACGTAGACGATGCCAGGAGAAGTCGAGGCGGCGAGCGATGGAAGGGTGAGGATGAAGTCTTCTGTGAGCCCTGCACCCTCAGAAGGAGCCATGACAACTGCAAGTTGCTCGAGAACAGTGTCTGGCAAGGTATTGCTGACGTTGAACTGGAAGACAATGTGCTCCGCGAAGACGTGCTTGACAACGGACACTTGGTACTCCGTTTCGCTCTCCGTGAGTTGCGCAGGCTTGGACGAGCTGTTCAGCACTGGGCCGTAGTTCGCGAACTCTGGTACTTCCGAAAGCGCAGTGGCGTAGGCGGAAGCCGTCTGCTCGGCGGTGGGCGGCGGTGGGGACGGCGCGGAGGTGGTGGCAGCTGGCGCGCCGATCGTGTCGAGTGATGAGGGGCGCGCAGACTCCTGTACGGCCTGCGCACGGGAGATGCGCGGGACAGAAGCAACATCCAATGCAGAGCGCGAGGAGGACGGGTCGTTGATGTACGCTACAAGCTTGCTCTCGAGCGCGCTCAACGAATACACCGAATCGTCCTTGACATATTTCTCCGCAAGGGGTGCCGCGCGGATTGTGCGGAGATAGAAGGCGGCACGGTCGCGCACTTCATCGTCGACATCATCAAGGCAACGGTTGAGCAAGACTGAGATGCTCTTCTGGAGCTTCTCGTCCTCAAGCACGCCGAACTTCGCCATGCTCGCCACAGCAGCCGCTCGCACGGTCGCGTTCTCGAGTACGACGCGGTTGTAGATGAAGCGGATGAACTTGGCAGGATGCGCAGAACGCGGACCTTCGACGCCGAGGAGGTGCAAGATGCGCACGGAAAGCTTCGTGAACTCGCAATCTTCGATGAACTCGCATAGATGACCGAGCGCCTGCTCCTTGCATTCCCCGATGAACTTGATCATATCAAAGATGGCCTCGACGACGGCGCGCTTGAAGTCGTAACCGCCCTCGTCGCGAAGAACACCGCTGAGGAAACCGAGCATGCTTGCGTGCTTCGCAGGGAACTTGAGGCAGAGAGACCGAATGGCGTCGACGATGATGACCTTGAACTCATCCGAGATCTCACTCATGAAACCTGAGATCTGCTTCATGAGGCGGTCGACCGAAGCTTCATTGCCGGTCTTGAGCAAGGTCGTGATAGCGTAAGTCGCGACCGAGCGGTTATTGTCGGAGATCAAGTTCTCGAGGTCGACATTGCAGGTCGCGACGCTTGCAGGGTGAGAGAGGGCGAGAGTCGCGAGAGTGCGCGTGGCGGCGAACTTGAGCGTTGCCTTTGGAGAAGACAGGAATAACTGGAGGACTGAGGAGTGGGATCAGCGTGCGGACTAAGATAGAGTTAACATGCCACGAACCGGCAATTGAACGCGTTAATTGCTGGGCGCTAACACCCTTCATTTCGCAAATGGCGCGAGCTGCCTCGTAGTTGACCATATCGCTCTTGTGGCGCAAGAAACCCTCAAGCAGGTCGAACATAGGCTTTTGCATGCTATATCGAGTGATGAGCACCTGTCTACCAAACAAGAAGTACTATAGACTAACTTGGGGTCCTCTTCCATGATCTTTGCCGCATAACGAATGAGCATGCAGAGTGCCATCGGGTTCTTGAGCGTAGTTCCCGAACCAGATTTGCCTCCGCCGAGCTGCTGGATCATCTTGGTGACTGCCATCCTGTCCTGTCGACGGATATAGTAGAGAAGGCCGAGTGCATGGTACTGGGTGATGTAGCTCGTGCTCGGCATCGGGCTGTATCCAGAGTTCTGGCTAGAGTTGGAGCCGCCGAAGCCGAGGTATCCGCCTCCGCTGGATGAGCCGAAGAGGCCGGTGCTTGCCTTGGCGTTGACGGCCTCCTGCGTCTCGTTTACCCAGCGACGGACGACATCTTTTGCGAGGGGGAACAGATGGTAGGAAGATACGAGCGCGGCGGAAGAAATCGACGGCGTGCGGTCGACGATGGCGGCCTTGAAGACACGCTCGACGCCCTGGACCATGCTCGGGTCGATGATGCGGCACAGCGCGCGAATCGCGTTGGGCCGGTAGATGACCTCAGAGTTGGGCTGCATATCCTTCATGATGCTCGACGTGACCATGATCACGTCCTCGGCCGTCGTGGCCAACTCCTTGATCGCCAGGTAGACCATCTGCCTCAATGCACTCTATTGCACGCTCAGTATTCATCCAAATAGAGATGTTGCGGAATTCCTCACATCTTTATGTTGGAAGAGCTTGGTCGTCCCGAAGAATATAGTAGTCGCCTCCTGCGTGCCGAAGGTCTCTCCGATATAGAGCAGGTAGACAATGCGCGTGAGCAGTGCCCTGCACTTGCGCGGGGAGATGGGCGACTCATTGAAGACGCGAGCTTCTTGGAGGATCGTCGCCTTGTTATTGTAGTACGAGTTCAGCCCCGCCTCGTCCTCCTTTTTGGAGAGCGACATCTTGGGCGGCGAGCGAGCGGAGGAGAGATGTGGTCGACCGTCAACAGACTCAACTGGACGCGGCGCGCGACGTGTTCGCGCCATCGGTTCGGATTTCTCCGCCGCGTGTCTTGCTTCCGACCGCCATGATGGTCGTCACCCCCGCGTCGGAACATTGTGAAGGCTCGCTATACGACTTTACACCGGTCAGGGTATCCTATGACGCTCTTATAAAACCCATATACGACAATTATCTGGCCTTGAGCCTCCTTGGATCTTGTTTCGCCGCTTCACTGTCCCGTCATCAAACAAGGACGACCGCAAGTAAAACCGCATACGCGCAAGCATCGTAGTTGCACGACTACACTACGTATGCAAGTGGCGCTGTTGCGTCCTCGTCGTCCATATATGGGTGCACCCGCCTGCAGCCTTGCTCTCCAGTAAAGTTCAAAGCCAAAAAGCACACTCCAGAAGAGAGGGATAGTACTGGATGCCCCCCGGAAACCGATTAGCCTATCCAGCTTGCGTACACTTTTGCATGCGCATATGGCAGCTGGAGCATGTCTTCCACGCCAGTTTCATTAACCCTTATTAAGCATGAGAGGTACTCGAAAGTCGTAATCGCTTTCCCTACCCTTTTGCTATAGCCATGGTACCACGCGCCGAGCTCCTCCTGTGGGTAAACCTTCATCTGGTCTCAATTATCGCGGAGACTTTCATATACGGAATATACTCCGTGCTTTTCTTCTTGAGCCTGATCAAACTCATGTAAGCTTGTCTGTGATATACGGAACACCGTCTTCACTAACCCTCACTTAGTCGCAGTGGCCCTGGAGGCCCCGGGAATAATCTTCGCTCTTTGATCTTCCCCTCCGCGATTCTCATGTTCTGCATTGCTACGTCGCATTTCGTCCTGCTACTGCAGCAAAATATGTCCTCAAACGAGCTGGATCAAGGAGCAGCGACACTCGGAAGCGGATTCTTGCCCTGGTACGGATATACCGAGGCTTCCCTGGAGATTGCCAATGTACGGGCTTTTTTCTCATACATGCAGAACTTGCTCCTGACTATCTCGTCGTACAGTGCCTTATAGGAGACATCGTGATGATATCGATTGCTATCACGCTCGGGGACCGTCCCAGTCGATCCCACTCATCCACCGGTTCCCGCCTCAAGCTCTACGCCGTTCCCGCCGTGCTCCTCACTGCTTCCCTGAGTAAGTGGCGATACGACTCGACGCTTCGTGAGACCCACTGACCGACCGTTACTACAGTCGCTGGTATGGGTACGGTGCTGTCTTCAGCTGGTGTGGACATTCTATCGAATGCGACGAACCCACACTTACGAGGCTTCACAATCGCTTGGATGGCTCTCATCCTTGCTACTAATCTCGTGTCAACATCGCTCTTCATCTACGAGATTTCATCTCGTCGGTGAGCGTGATCGATTCTACAACCACATTTTGACGCTGACGGTTCACACAGGAGGGAGTACAAAGAAAGGATGTTGGCAAGCTCCGATAAACCCTTCAACGCGCTACTCTTCACATTGACTTGCTGCGGCCTGCTTTATTGCTGCACTTTTGTGAGTCGCCACTTGAAAACAGTAGAAGCGAACGCATGTAACGGTGCATCATCACGTTAGGCCATCCTCCTGGTGCTCTTCCTGACGGATATCAAGGCCTGCTGGGTCATGAATCATATGATCCCCCAACTAGCCGTGCGGTTCATTCCTACCCACTGTCAGTCTATAGTTCTCACATAACCCTTCCAGGGCATATATCCAATATCCACTATTGTGGTCGTTGCGGTCCGAAAGTTTGGTGCATCCCAAGCGCGCCCAATCTTGCCCGCGCACTCTCGTCAGCTGAGCGATATGTCTTTTCGAAGCACTCGCGGGATAGGATTCGCTTCACCTATGTCTGCATCTTCCCTCCCCAACGCGAGCAGAAGCACCATACCTTCAAGCCCTATAATACCGCCTGCCTCTCCGACCAATCTGTCGGGGAGCACATCGCGTCTTAGTAGAAAGCTCGTCAAGCTCCGGAGATTCTCGCGCAAAGGTCCGAGGTTCGCCGTAGCACCGCGCCCCACCGGCATGCTTATCAAAGTGCACCAAACCGTACAACATACTTTCGACGATCTATCCATCTCGCGGACCTTCGTCTCGTCAATGACTGGGGTGTTTCCATCAACTCTCCCCGAACACAGACTTACGAGCTCCATCGCCCGACCAAGGACAACAATCAACCTGTTCTCCCCAGGATCATCATGCGTCAAAGTTGGTGCACATACGCCTGCGGAGGTGGCTCGTGGATCGCAGAGTGATGGTTATGAGTCGGAGGATGGACATGGACTCGTCGTGGGGTCCGGGTCCAATCTCGGGAACACGAATGGGTCAACGACGACTGTGAGCGAGTTGGTTGTGGATAGTGAACTACCATCTTCTGTACCTTAGCTCACTAGTCGCCTGTTTTACTTTACGAGCAAACCCTAAGCATGCTTCTACGCATTATCATAGCATTAAAGGACTGCCGTACAAGTTACTGTGCAATTGTTCGTCAGTACTAGTCATCCGAGTCGGCCAATACGCGGCGTTGTCGCCCAACGACGTCGGCCTTGAACTGGGTTCACCCATCGCAGTGCAATAGCTGTCGTTGCCACTGAGGTGATACAGTCGTGGGCGCACGCTCCTGAGTGCAGGCACTCTATGGCTTGGGCGTCTTGCTACTCTGATTGATCAACCAGGGAAGAGCGCGCGTGCGAGTTCGCGCGCTTGTGCGCTGGCGCGGCGTGGCTTTTCATTTCAACGTCCATCTTCGCCCTTCCGTCAAGTCGGAGAGACGATCCCCAGTCATGCACGATCCTGCTGGCAATCGAGAAACTTCTTGAGTTACAACGAGCGCGATGAGAGGCCAACAGCTCAAAGCGCGCCTTCGAAACCTAACTGGGAGGAATGGCCCGTTGACTTGTGTTGCCGTCGGCATGGCACAGGAAGGGCGCTTACAAGTCGGACACATGCTGTGACTGTGGCGAGATGAGGTGCTTCCTGTCATTCACATGTTGGGCTAGTACGAGGCTGCTCGTGTCCCGCCGCAGAGCCTTACCGTCTTTCATCATCATATGGAGATCATTGCCGGTCCGTCAAAGCGCCATGCCCCATGTCTGCTGCTCCAGTCCGATAACACACTAAGAGGGTGATTGGCCTGGATTGCGTTTACCCCTCTATGACACTGATGGACCCCTGTTACCAGGACAGGTGGCTGAGCGAAATGCTGTATATCGCTGTAGCAGGCTCGCACCCGTCAAACTCCCTACAAAACGTCTGGGTCAGGCATCCAGACTGCAAAGCCAGCCTTCGCTTCCTCCACCGAACCGCCGAGCTGACTTCCGCTATCATGAGCTACATAGCCCTCGTACTCACGCACACAAACCTCTACTTTTCTGCACTTTATGCTGAAACAGTCACGAACGGCATATACTCCGTGCTCTTTGTGCTATGTTTGATCAAACTTGCGTACGCACTCCTCAAAGACAACTATTGCCAGGACAAACATTGATGTTTCTTCATAGGCGCGACAATAGCACGCCGCCACGCAAGGGCTTGAAAATGCTGCTGCTCTGTCTGACTGTCATCATGTTCTGCGTCGGCACAGCGCATTCCGCTATATTCCTACAACAGGCATTATCGTCAGCACAGGGCGTGAAAAGAGCAGACCCTCAAACCCATGCGCGATATGAGTACACCAAATTGTCGTTAGAGGTTGTGAATGTAAGGGAAACATCGTCGTGATAGGAAGACCTTTACTGACGGTTTATCTCAGTGCTTTCTTGGGGACCTAATAATCATATCGACCGCATTGACTCTGGAAAAAGTCATAGGGAAGACCAAGTCTCGCTCTCGCTCGCATCTCGCCACGCTCTATGCAGTTCCGACTCTACTTCTCGTCGCTTCCCTAGGTATGTGATGCATCTTTCTTCCTGCCATGGATGGACGTGACTGAGATACGCGCATGATAGTCGCGGGCATTGGAATGGTCTGTACGTGTGGTGGCGCAGACGTCCTGTCCAGCATCCTCAGTCCTGTCCAACGTGGTTGGCCTAGCGCTTGGATATCTCTGGTCTTGGCTACCAACTTGGTGTCAACCCTCGTTTTCGTCTATGAATTCGTCTCACGCTGGTGAGTTCTGCGCATACTATATAAGCATCGGTTGTAATCCCTCACCACAGCCTTAGGAAGGAACTCAAGGCCGATAACATGACTGTTATTGGGGGATCCCTCAAGGAGTTCTTCATCACCCTGATGTGTTCCGGTGCTCTCTATTGCTGCACATTCGTAAGGGATTCGCTCTTCTTGATTTGGTTGTGTTCTGATGCCGCGCACTATCAGATCGTGCTCCTAGTTCTCTTCATGATCGACTGCAATGCCAGGTACATTGTCAACCATATGATACCTCAGCTCGCGGTAAGCCTATGTATACTGGCGACCTTGATGCACTACTCAGCTTTTGCTCTTGCTAGGGTATATATCCAACAGCTACTATCGTTATCGTCGCATTTAGCACCAACGACCCTTCCATACAACTCTCTCCTATCAGCCGCTCAATAAACAAACAGTCATCGCGCCGGTTCCATGAGGATTTACCGCCCGTCAGTCCCACTAAACGCACCCGTTCTACACCACCATCGAGCCCACACGGAGGATCACGCATGCTTTTGCCTCCCTTCAAGGGGCTGCTTACTCGAGCATCATGCTCACCTCGGCGCGCCTTCGAGTGGTGTAGGTCAAAGTTACGTGGCCCACATCCCATTTACCCCCGCAAGGATTCTAGTAACTCCACGGCAACGTTGAAGGGCTCGGTTCGGGTGACTGTCGATGTCGAGAGAATTTACGACGAACCATACGTGCCGAAAAGGACGACCTCTCTGCCCCTCCACGCCGACTTACGAGGCCTGAACGATTACAAGTTGGAGACGTTCAATGACGAGCGCACGAAACAGCGATTGTCCAGACTCGCAGATCCTGATGAAGACGGAGTCTCACCGCTTGAAGCCTACATCTGGGCTGAGGAGGGGCCCTATCGCAGGTCGACTGACCAGGGAGGAGGAGAATTTGAATTCTTTTGGTGGAAGGGCAATACCAGCATGGATACCGTGGCGTCGTTTCCTCGGGAGCACACCCACGGCGGCTCGATGGCGGAGGCTGTTTAGGCATGTATTTGTGAAAGCCCGAATGAGCGACCTCTTCAGTAACACAGGAAATGCGGATGTTTCCGGAGAGTACGGAATAACCTTCCTCTTGGCTTACTTGAATGTGTGTCTGAATATGAGACTACGAGAGTATCCAGCCTGGTGGACTGCCAGGATAAAGCAGCAGCGTCCTCATCTCCTCATCTGACCCGGAATAATCAGGAATAGTGTAAACCAATTATCTCAGCCTTTGATCTGTCGCTACCGCTACATACTTAGAAGGGCCGTCCCTGCATAAATACTTCGAGAACTGAATACAACAACCGGCAGTCGCACACTCGTCTGGCCGCGGGGACTACGCCCGGCTCGGCGCCCAGGCACGATGGCCGGCGACGTCGACGCCCGGGCGGCAATCACGAT